CCTGGATTCAATTAAAAGATGAAAATGTCAAACACTCTTTTTCTTGTTCATTGACATCCTTTCCCTCTTCAACAAGAACAGAATTAATGGAAATTATTACTGCTCTTATAACTTGTCCACAACACTGTTTTATACAGACAGTCAATCATCTATCCAACTACTTGACAATAACATCACACCTAACACTGCTCACAATAAATTTAAAATCAAAAATTACTATATAATATCCTCAATCCACCACATAAAAAATCATATCATTAAAAGTATTCTTTCATAAAATTAAATCACATTCAGGCAATAAATATAATGATTTAGTTGATAACTTAGCTAAATCAGCTTTGCCTGAAATACTCCACATAAATCCTTCTTCTATCAAACTCCACTCTCCAATCATATTCAATCAACGATATAGATTATCCTCTACATTCTTTCATAAAATTAAATTCAAACTCACAAGCAATAATTAAATGGCAAACACAATCTACCTTGGTAAAGCAAATTCCATCAAACACACCTATCAATTGGTCATATACAGAATTTTGTCTAAAATTCTCCCATTACTCAATGTTCACTGAAAATAATTCACACTTTTACCATGGCTCATTATACTCATTCAAGCTTGAAATTCTCCATAACACATTACCTACAATAAAAAACTTAATATGCAACTATCCAACACTACTCCCACCCAATATTAATTGACTCTATTGTAATCAATCACCTGAAAATACTACACACCTATTTTCTTGCCAAGCTAATTCTAATTTGGACACAATTCCATGGCTAATAATCTAACAATCAATAATCTCTGAAATCTCAAATTGGTATAGATCCTCCAAAATTACACAAACTAACAACTATTACAACCTCTATTCCAATCTAACTTCAACCATACTTCACCTGTAATACTTGCAGCTGGATTAATTCCATCATCTCTAATTAACTCCATACATCCAATATTTACTTCTCACAAAAAAACTTTAATCATCCTTCACATCATCTCCTACAATCTAATAACTTTCTATTATAAAAATGTCTGGCTTCCATGATATGCTTTATTTAACTCATGGTTAAAACAAAATAATATCAACTTGAAAAATAAAACAGCTAAACAATTATACCCAATTAATCAGATAGCACAAACACCCTCTAATAATTCTCATCTAGTTTTAATAAATAACTTCATTAACACTGGATATGACTTCCTATTACCTAGGTAATATCTGGATCAGCCAACAATATCTATGATGCAGATAATGTTGTTAAATTGAGACTGAATAAATTTCATAGACTTTGTTTGGCATATCAGTTTTTTCTGAAATGTTGAATTTAAATATGTATGTGTGTATATATATATATATATTTTGATTATTTTCAAGAGGAATAGCCTCATATAAAGTTAATTTGGAATTTATTTTGTGAATTATTTTTATTATATTTATTTTATTCTAATAAATTATATGGGCAGGATATTGCTTTTATTAAAAAAAAAAAAATAAAAGATTTGATTCGGAATTAGGTATTTCGGCCAACAAATCAGCATTAAATCATAATTCTGGTAACAATATTGCAAACTTGAAACTTTTTGGCAGCAGAGTATGAAGAACATTTCACCTTATAATCAATTTGAATTCTGTGTCTTAAAAAATTAAATGACTTTTTTTAAATATAAATTGGTATTTTCACAAAAAAAATGTAGGATGTCAGCCAAGAATCAAGAAAAATAGCAATCAAAATTACCATCATAATCAAATAATTCTTATTGCCTAATTGTTCATCACTAGTATCATTACTCCCATTATTGTTACTATTATTATTACTGTAATAAATATGGCACCTCAATTAATTGCAGCATATAAAAATTGAATGTGGTTGCAGCATATGAAAATTGAATTGTGGATTCCCATCTTTTAGAGGTTGGAATCGTCCAAAAAATCCTTAGTCGACTACTAGTTGGTCAAAATTTCTTTTAGTCGACTAATTAGTCGACTATTTAGTTGACTATTTAGTCGATTATTTTAGTTGACTATTTAGTCGATTATTTTAGTTGACTATTTAGTCGACTAAATTTTTTTAATACTAGTGTGTAACCATTTGCTTCGCAAAATGGTCACACTAGTCACGGGAATAACATCCTATTTAATTAGAATATTCATTCTGTTTCATTATTATTAACGTTTTTTTTTAATTTGCAGATTACAAATTCATCTCCATTTGAATCTTTAATTTCTCGAAATACTTCCATACAAAGCTATATGTTATAATTCATTTTTTTAAAGGTCTGGAGCCACTGCTTGAGTTCGAAGCCAACGAATTGTTGGAATGATTTGACCTTGTATCAATGTTTATTATTTCGCATGGATAATTATCTCCAACACCAGCACCAACACCACCATTATCATCTTCTTCATAATATTGATACTCCGCATATTTATTTTTATTAAATTTTTTTGTACCACAAAAAACGTTTTCATTTATAATTGGCCAGACAATAATTATAATTAGTCGACTAAATAATTGACTAAAATAGTCGACTAATTAGTCGATTCCAACCTCTAAGAAAGATGGATGGCAAGAGAAATGGTTACCTACCATTCCATGCAAAAATGTTATCTTCATCATTATAGCCCAAATAGTTCCATCAACACCAACACCAACATTTACAACTGAGTCAACAGCTAGTTCCCAATGTCAATTGTAGAATCAAAAAATCTATAGAATTAAAGGGAAAATGAGTATTCATGTCAAGAATGTATCACACAAATAGAAGAGAAGTACAATAAGAGTTTAAAAGTTTGTGGAGATGATGAATTTTATATATGATTGAAAAAATAGAACATCCTTAGGATTTCCATTCAAATAAACAAATAAAACAAACAAAACAAATGAATCAAACAAAATGAATGAATCAAATAAAACAAATAAAATGAATAATTCGAATAAAATGAATAATTTGAATAAAGTGAATAAGACAAACAAAATGAATAAAATGAGTAATTCAAATAAAGCTAATAAAGTGAATAGAATGAATAATTCAAATAGAACAAATAAAGCAAATAAACAAATAAACAAATAATTCAAATAAGAATTTGTATTATGAATAGGAACTCTAAACATGCAAATTTTTGTGGTGAATCTATGAATATGTAATGATCTGACCTGTAACTGACCAGCTGTATCTAAACATGGCATTATGTATAAAATTCAATCATGATCTCCATACCATTGTTATCATGGTATAAAATTATAAATTATGTATGTATTTAGAAACAGGATCCTTCCAGCATCTCTACTTTGTAACATATTTGCTAAACTAAGCTATAAGTTATATGATTTTTTTGAAGTTATTATGTATATTTTTGTGTAGTTAACAAATTTAGAATATCTGAAATTTTTGGGACAAATATAAACCAAAAAACTGAACCATTTGGAGCTTTACACTTGATATTAATTACAAATGTATGTGAGTATTATCCATGAAATTGTTAAATCCATAGATGCTTAAATACTTGTTATTTTGACCCTTTTTGTTAATACTGTGTTTGTTTTAATATGCAAATTTTTCTAAAAAAAATATCATAATAATTGTATCAATCCTAGGTTTGTTGTGTTTTATCAATCTTTTGATTTTATTAATATTAATCTTTATAGTTTTAATCACTTTGTTATAACCAGCCTTTTCTATCAAAAATTTGCTGTTGCACAGCATAAAAAAGATCTGCATTCATCTGCATTCAATTTTGTCACTATGTGATAAACGAATGTCCATTATGCTGGCAGAAGCTGGAGTCGATCCTGAAAATTTTGATAAATATGCTAAATTTCCAGAACTTACTCAAGCTTCTAATGAAATTAAGAAGAAGCAACTCATACAATGATTAACCAATACATTTAAGACTCCTAATACTCTTAAACACTTCTCCTTAGATGAGGGACTTAGAAGAATTCAAAGTATCAATACTACTAAAATTCTAACTATGCAGGATGATTATGATGTTGAGCATGAGAGCCTCTGAAGTTACTACTCTTTGTATTATCCGTTGTAAAGAAGCCAAGCTTTGAGTCTCAAACTCGCCTGATGAATCAAACCTTCCAGAATGGTACAAACCCGGTTATTCTTGGTATTGTACAGGGTATATTAAGAATAAGGGAGAAAAGAAGGCTAATCCTGAGCCTTGACAATTCCTTTCCATGGAATTGCCATAACACCTAAAATTGTTAAAGCTTACACGAAAGAACTTTTAACACAAATTTGCTGATATTTATCCAGGTGCCAGTGAAAAATTTCATGCATCAGAAAGTTGGTTCTATGGCTTCCTTAGAAGGTATAATTTTGCAATGAGACGTAAAACAAAGATTGATCAGAAGCTTCCTCCTCATATTAACATCAAAATTCTCGAATTTCAACAATTTATTATTAAAAAACAAAAACAATTTGAATATGAAATTTCAGAAATTGGAAATATGGATAAAACTCCTGTTTATTTTGATATGGTTTGGAAATTTAACAATAGATAAACATGGTGCAAAAACTGTGCAAGTTCAAACAACTGGAAATGATAAAAACCATTTTACATGTGCCCTTACAATTCTTGCAGATGATACAAAACTGCCACCAATTGTTATTTTCAAAGGTAATTGAATTCCAAAGAATTTATCTTCTCAAATAATTGTGTTAATAATTGTTATTTTTAAAGGTAAATGAATGCCAAAGAATTTACCTTCTCAAATCATGGTACTAATGCACCCAAAAGGGTAGCTTGGCTTGATAAGGTTTGGAAGAGAAGACCTGGAAATATAATTACAAAAAAAAAAAGCTTTATTTGTTATGGATAGCTTTGAAGGTCACAAGACAGATTCTATCAAAAAAATTGCACAAAATGAAAACACTGATTTAGCAATCATTCCAGGTGGTCTTACCTCTGTTGTTCAACCACTTGATGTTTGTATTAACAAACCATTTAAAGATAGACTATGTGAAAAGTGGAATACTTGGATGAGTTCAGGTAATTTCACCTATACAAAAAATGGAAATTTAAGAAAGCCTGAACATAATGTCATTTGTAAATAGATTCTGGAGGTTTGGGATGAAATTCCAAAAGAAATGATTGTGAAATTGTTTAAAAATTGTGGTATTAGTAATGCAACTGATGGATCAGAAGATCTTTTTTTTGGGCAAAATGATGGGGATGAAAATGAAAATGAGGAAGATGAAGGTGAAATATTAAATAGAGGTGATAATTCAGTTGATGAATTAGATGAATTAGAAAAGGAGTCTGGTGATTCTGGAAAGAATAGTCAAAAATAAAAAATTTCTTACTTTTTATTTATTATATAAAATAATTTGAAATATATGTAGTGCTTATATTTATTTTTCATTGCAAATTCATACTGGTGCTTATATTCCAGAGAATACAGTAAATAATTTTGCTATTTTGACCAATAAAAATGTTTTCACTTGACAAATCACATGAAGATCTTCATTTAAAATTTTGGAATGTTGATGGTTGGCACCATAGAGATATAAGAAATGTGTACTTTTATGAATTAGTTTTTTTTGTCCAAAGTGGGGGGATAGAGGTTTTATTTATACGTTTTTATAGTAATTTATTAGACTACTAGTATGACACAAATTCAAGTCAATTGTAGTTCAAAGCACAATGCAAATGCAAATTCTTCCATACACATCAGGAAAATGGGTACAAATATTATGCGTATATAATACACAATTGCAGGGATTAAGCATATAATATGTGTACAAATCGCATATTTTTTTATGTATGCTTAATCCCTGCAATTGTGTATTACACTCCCTGGACAAAAGTATCCAGACACCTATTTTTACTAATTATACAAAAACGCACATAATAACTACACATAAAATCTTATCAAAATGTGTCTTAAATTTTGGTAAATATGCATGTAAATTTTGATACTCTCAAAACGTCTAGAAAAATTTTAATTAAAATAATTCAAAAATCGACGAAAGTCGCGATATCAATTTTTGTTTCTCAAATTTGCTCAAAATTCTACATAATAATAAAAATGAAAATTTATATCGATTTATAGCTTAGATTAACTAGAATATGAATACAAAATTTCGTAATTTTGGTAGCATAGATAATTAATAATAAAATTAAAAAAATTGGTAATTAAAATAGGATTTATAAAAATCAAGATTAACAAATTTTTTTTTAAATCTTAAAAACGTAAAAATGTAAAAAAACGAAGAGGAAAAATTTTGTGTCTTCATGAAGGTACCTAATTGACCATCGCAATCCTCAGATCTTAATCCAATTGAACATCTTTGGAGTGAACTAGGGAGACGATTAGATAAGTGAACACAATACCCAAAAAATGCCAACAAGTTGGAAGCTTGCTTTACAAGAAGTGTAGTCAACGAACTCCATATGAAACTTACTACAAATTAATAGAAAACATGCCTAGAAGGATTGAGACATGCATTTCTAGTGATGAATAGCCAACTCGATATTAATATTAATATTAAGTTTTATTTTTTTTTTTTTTATTTATATTTTGTTGATAATCATCATTTTCGTCGAGTTTCAGATTTTTTTAATTAGACGTTTTGAGAGTATTAAAATTTACATGCATATTCATCAAAACCTAAGCTGCATTTTGATGAAATTTTATGTTAGTTATTATGTGCGTTTTTGTATAATTAGTAAAAACAGGTGTCCGGATACTTTTGTCCAGGGAGTGTATATACGCATAATATTTGTACCCATTTTCCTGATGACTAACCTTTTCAAAAAAAACCAAATAACAGCTTTGAAACAACAAGGAATAAAAAAAGACTTTTTTCATATGATTCAATGACAAATGAACTCTGGAACAATTATAAAAAAGAAACAAATAAACAAATTGAAGATTTACAACTTAAAATAATGAAAATCCAAGATATAAGAAATCTCAACCACTATTGGAACCTTATTCACAAAGGAATTATGAATGCAGCAATTAAAATAATTCCTAATCACATGACACCAACTCAGCACAAGGAAAGAAAATGTAAAAACCTGATAGATATTTATAAAGATTTAAAATATCTGAATAAATTAATTAGATGCATAAACATTAAAAATTTTCCTCATAACAATTCAAAGTTACAAGAAAAATGGTCAGTTCATATAAAAAAAATGAATATAATTGTGCAGAATCACAATTACATGTTAACAATCCTGGATATTCTCAATACAACCACTATTGAAGATTTTAGAAAGAAAATAACATCATTTCATAAAACATTCATCATCAAAACTGATTTGCTAAATAAAAAATGGAATGAAGAGCAAATCAAAAAATTTGTCCATCAATGATGTGAAAATTATAAAGACAATCAAAGTCATATGATCAACACTTTTTTGGAAAGAAATAAAAGAAGAATTGTTATAGATAGAGTAATGAAAAAACAAAAGGATCAACAAATTCTTATTACTGACCCAGATGAAATAAAATACATAACAAATGAACATTTTCAAACTTGTCCTGGTGGAACCCACATACAAAAAGAAATACCAGACACACGGAAAGAACAATATACACCATTAACAGCAATTAATCCTATTATATATAAATACTTAATGACAAAACCCACTTATAATGAGTTGTTAGATGTATTGAAACAACTCCCTAATGATAAAGCCTCTGGACCATCTGCAATTACAAACAAAATGTTAAAAAACCTTGGTTCCAAAATGAGTGAATGCATTTGAAACTTCATTTGTGCTTGTATAAAATTAAATGAAATTCCGTATGCATGGAGAGAAGCTGACATCTATCCTATTCCAAAACTAAAGGAATGGGAATGCAATCTTAACAACACCCAACCAATTACACTCCTTGATACAACATGTAAAGCTATAGTAGACTTCTCAATAATTGTCTAGCTAAAATCATGGTCAAACATCAAATTCTCAAAGGCAATCAATTTGCTGGATTACCTAGTACATCTACATTTGAACCAATTCGGATCATTAATGAAATAATTGAGGATGCACATGAAAAGAATAAGGAGATATAGATTCTTTTTCAAGACCTCTCAAAAGCTTATGATTGTGTTAATATTTACATGCTAGAAAAAGCATTATCTCATATTAAAATTCCACCATCCTTCTGCAAACTTATTTTAAGCTTATTTACCAATAGGAAAATCAAATCTTCACAGAGGTGGGTAAAACAGAAGCATATGATGTTCTCATAGGAATCTACCAGTGTGAAGTAATATCACCATTATTATGGTGCATTTATTATGATCCCCTCTTGTGTGAAATTGAAAATAAAAAAATTGGATATAATTTGAATCATACATACAAACCTAATCTATATCAACAACAACAACAAACATACTTAGAGCAACCAATCTCATCCCTTGCTTTTATGGTAAGGATACCGGCTGCAACTTTTGATGATGGTTGCTACCACCTTTGCATCATATAAAAATGATTGCAACCACTGGTTGCAACCACCTTTACGACCATTTTGTTTCCTTTTTTGGATTGCGACATGGAACACTATTTTATGGATGACATTACTTGGATTACTGAAAACCAAAATAATTTAGAAATTATCCTTAGAATAGCCAATGACTTTTATAATCTAAATAATATTCAAGTAAATAAAGAAAAATAATGAATATACCTGGATACAAAACAGAAGAGGTAATGCTTAATTTTGGTCAAGATACAATACAAATCAAACCAGCAAAATATCAAGAATCTGTTAAAATTCTTGGTGTTTGGGTTAATTTAGCTGGAAACAGAAAATTGGTATTTAATCAAGCAAAAGATGAAGTATTTACAATATGTAATACATTAAAGAAAAAACATATAACATGCAAACAACTTTTGTATCTAAATAATATGGTAATTATCCCAAGAATAGAATATCAAACACAGGTCACAATTCTTTCACAATATGACTGTAACAATATTATGGCACCTTTTAAAAAATTATTCAAACATAAAATTCATTTATCATCAACAGTACCTAATGCAATTTTAGAAAACAATTTTATGTTTAAATATAGAGATTTGTATGAAATACAACTCCAAGCAAAAATTACAAATTTTTGCATTCAAATTAATGACAAAAACCTTTTAGGAAAAATTCCAAATATTTGTCTCAAACAACTCCAACAACAAGAGTGGTTATCATCTTCACCACTGCATGAATGGCCTTACAAACAACTAGAAAAAAAAATTTATAATATCATTCCAAGTCACAAAACAAGACATGAATATCATCAAAGGAGGAAAATTACACATTACTCAACTCCTTGGAAAAGGTTTTCATAAATATAAGAAATAATTACAAAAACACTCTATTATGTTTATAGATCAGTTATCCTCAATTGATGGAATTTTTTAAATGAATGGAAAACCATCACAGAAGAATCTTTCACAACACATAACAAGGCAACACAGGTACCCAATGGTTTTAAATTATTGAGAATCAAATTTTGCCAACACCAGACATCTCAAGAAGAATCCAACCTCCATAGATTTATCCAGCAACAAATTTTAAAGGATCAACAATCTTAATTCCAAACATCAACATTCGATCTAAAGAATGGGTTATCATATGGAATTGCATTATTAATCAACCAATTATAGGACAAATTATTAGAAAATATCCTAAAATAACACAATAGTCATAGAACACTGGATACATTATAATTTGAACACACAAACATCTCCATCAAAGAGTATTCCCTCAATTCACTCATGTCCTGGGTGTGATATCAATCATATACAATTTAACATTATTACAGATGACAAATACAATACCCAATTCTATTGTAGTGCAAATCTTTATTCCTTTCAAGATGCAATATTAATTCAAAAAATAAAAAAACTAGAACCAAATAAATATCTACTAGGGACACCTATTTTTGAATTAAAATAAAGAGCAGAATATCACTATAAATTTAATACACAACAAATGACATATACAACAGTAGAACTCCCAAATACAATAATAGAAGAAAATTTAATTTTTTGATTTATTAAATCTTCTCCCTTGTGTGATTTATTATTACAACAACAAAGCTTATTACACCTTTCCTTAAATTTGGAGTTTCATACTGATGGATCGCTTATAGATCTAAGTAAAGAAACAATGAAAATGGGCATTGCTTATATTCAAACACATCCATTGGAATTTGGAGCATCAATAAAAAAAAATTTTGGCCTTCTGCAACGTGTGCTGAAATGGCTGCTGTAACAGCTACTTTATTAATTGCACCTAAAGACTCCAAGGTTACTATTTGCACAGATAATAAATCAACAATAGATCAATTCAACAGATCTTTTAAGGAGCAATGCTATACATATCCTCATAGTATATTTAAAGAAAAAAATCGCATCTTTTGGTCAATATTATATGATATTAGCAGAATCAATAATATTACATTATCATTTAGAAAGATAAAAGCACATACCAGAAACATATATAATGAAAGAGTGGATACTCTTGCTAAAGATGCTTTAAATCTCCCCATTCTTTCCTTTATCACTACATCCTCCTATATTAAATATGAGCCAAAGTGGAAAAACATAATTATTGATACTCATCTACAACATTTTATCAAACATACCTCATATAATAAAGGTTTTGCAAATGGTATAACTTATATAGAAATAGAAAATATCGAGAATGCAACATAGACTGGAGTAATACTTTTTTTTCATTGAATAATGATGAAATTTCTAATGAAACATCCTTCCCCAATTCCAATCGCAAAGCTTCCAAAGTCAAATTTATGCTAGAAGAAATTCCAACATTAGAGCATATTAAAAAAGAAGACTAGATTTATATAAACATTGGATTGTCTTCTCTGCCACAATGAAAAAGAAGATTTCAATCATGTCTGGTCTTGTCCTCAAAACAGACAGAAAGTACAACAAATCAGTCATGAAACAAAAGAAGAAACTTTGTGCTCAAATCAATAATAATAATAATAATAATAATAATAATAATAAACAAAAACAACATCAATTCTCCTATTCTCATGGAACATACACTCACTGGTCATAAATATAAGGACACTTGCGGATCATCAGAAATGATTGAACAAAGAAACATGAAAAAAAAATTTTTTTTATTAACCTAACCGCATTTGCTTATTAAGTAAAAATTCATTTCCATATCAAATAGTATAGCATACTGAAGTTTCGCTGCATATAAACAACAACTCATTGTTTTACGAACTTTAAAAAATAAAAATGAATTTTTTGGAATTTCCAAAAAAATCTTTAACTCGAAAATTAACCACAATGTCAAGTTCTAACAACCTTTGCGGTATAAGTAAAAAATGCGTCTTATGATTGAATCTAGTTATATCCAAAATTCTAGATCATTTAGTAAAATAATTGCCAAGATGTCATACAAAATACTCGAACAAGTTAATTTTTGAAGATCTTGCGGAAAATTTACTATCTTATATTAATGAATTAAGAGAGGTGAATCATGGCAGTGATGGTGGTGATGATGATGTGGTGATGATGTCATGGTCATGGTCGTGTGTTTATTTTTCAAGAAGATAATGCACCATGTCATAAAGCAGCTGTGGCAAATCAATGGAAAGAGGAAAATTGTGTTATACTTCTCCCTTGGCCTGCTCAAAGTCCAGACCTCAATCCTATTGAAAATTTATGGCAGGATTTAAAAAGAAGACTTAGAATGAGAAACCCAAAACCAAAAAATAAAATAGAACTATTCAATTTATTAAAAGAGGAATGGTTTAATACTATTCCAGTGAGAATTAATAGATTAATAGATAGTATACCACAAAGAGTGGATGCTGTTTTAAAAAATAAAGGAAACCCGACAAGATATTGATTTTTTTTTAATAAAATACAATCAATTTAAAACAGTTTCATATATTTTTTGATGTCTTTTATGTTTCAAATTGGTGAGCAGTTTGAGGTTGAATCGTTCTGTACATTTTATTTTTTTCTCATTAATTATTTTACCAAATGATTTAGAATTTTGGATATAACTAGATTCAAACATAAGACACATTTTTCACTTATACCGCAAAGGTTGTTAGAACTTGACATAGTGGTCAATTTTCGAGTTAAAGATTTTTTTGAAAATTCCAAAGAATTCATTTTTATTTTTTAAAGTTTGTAAAACAATGAGTTGTTGTTTATATGGAGCGAAACTTCAGTATGCTATACTATTTGATATGGCAATGAATTTTTACTTAACAAGCAAATGCGGTTAGGTTAATAAAATTTTATTTTTTTTCATGTTTCTTTGTTCAATCATTTCTGATGATCTGCAAGTGTCCTTATATTTATGACCAGTGAGTGTAGTACCATATGGTCTGTTGATAATGATCTGAATAATTTCACTTTCATTGACATGATCAAAAGTTTTGTTCCTTCTTTTATTACCAACAAAATACAAAATTATACCACAAACTCAAAAATCACTACTCAAATCACATCTACCATTATTTAAAAATCATGGAACACATTTGGAAACCCAGATGTGAAAAAATGATTAAATTAGAAATTTCTTTAAATATTACTAAAAAAGAAAAATTAAAAAAGAAATACAACAAAAATTCCACCAATAATTCCTCTAGTAGTCTCAATAGAGATACAAATAACTTATCAAATGGTTCTGAGGGTTTAGAACATGCAATTACATCAGGTGGTTTCCTTTTGGATTATTACAATGGGTAATAACCATTTACTTTTTATCTATGTTTGAATGTCAGGTGTTAAATCTTAATACCTTTTGGGCCTGGTTTAGTAGATAATGGTGAAAGGTTGGTTTCATGGTGAACTTTATCAGTTTACTAGGGGACAGTCATTTTCTTTTTTGTGTAACATGTGTTTTCATTGTTTTACAATTAATAAAATTATGTGACATTACCTCATCATAAAAAAAAAAAAAAATGAAGTTAAAGAGCGACTTTTGATAATGGAATAATTTGATAAATTCATAAATTTTTCTGTGCCAACCCCATGAATTTAACGAGCTTTGACTGTATTTACACACATGATTTATTGCAAGAATGGGCCACATAATACCCTTGTAAAAGTATTTTAAACTGTATAAAAAAAATTCCATTCCTTATATAGGACAGTCTCTCCTGTTCATCTGTATATGAAAATTTATATGATGGAGACATTCACCTATGCTGATAATTAACCAAAGTTAGGTAGTAAATTATTTCTCTTCTGATTTTCTCTTTCTTTCTAGGTTCTTCATGGCTTTGTGTTAATGTTCTTTTATTGGTTATAGTTTTTCTTTCTTCCTGGTAAATTCATAAGTTTCCTTAGATAAGTTTCAAGTGTCTGTCTGAACATCAAAATATGGGGGCAGTTTTCTCACCTTATTGCTTTTAATAATGCTGTAATTCTTGGGTTCCATAGTAGATTGATTTGATGTAAATTAGTTTTATATTAATTATTTTTATATAGGAGTACCATTACAGAAAAAACAAAGATAAAAGATGGGACATTATAAAATTATTAATAGTAATAGTATGATGATGATGCTGAGCCCTGAAATTCTTGGTAGTAAAAATTTTGACTTTGTTGCAGCATAAGATTGCAAAAATGGTTTGAACATAAAAATTTTGAAAAGCAGGAAATTATGATAATCAATCAAAACATTGTGTCACTTTATAATAATTAATTAATTTGATTATTAAAATTTAACATTACTAAAATCAATTGCATAGTTCAAGATTATTTGGTAATCTATTCATTACATCATCCCTCCCATTCCACCCATTCCACCCATTCCACCTACACCAGCATTTTTGTTCTCATCTAGTAAATAAATTAATTTATATCAATAATAATAATAGTAGTAGTAGTAATAATAAGAGTAGTAATAGTAATAGTAATAGTAATCATTTACCTGGTGCTTCAGTGATTATACATTCTGTTGTTGTTAACAAACTTGCAACACCTGAAGCATCAACAAGAGCAGTCCTGACAACTTTTAAAGGATCAACAATACCACGAGAAATCATATCTCCATATTCTCCAGTAGCAGAGTCATAGCCATAATTGAAATCATTTACATGATCATCTAACAGTTTACCAACAATTACTGCACCTTCTTCACCTGCATTGTCAACAATTGTTTTTGCTGGTTTTGTAAGGGCTGATTTGATAATATTGATACCTAATTGTTGATCAAAATTACTTGTTTTTAAATTATCAAGGCATTTTATTGATTTCAAAAGTGCAACACCACCACCAGGTACAATTCCTTCTTCAACTGCAGCTCTTGTTGCATTCAATGCATCAACAAATCTATCCTTTTTCTCTCCAACTTCAAGTTCTGATGAACCACCTACTTTGATCACTGCTACACCACCAGATAATTTTGCTAAACGTTCTTGTAATTTTTCCTTTTCATATTCAGACACTGTAGAATCATTTATAGCTGCACGTATTTGTTCACAACGTTGATGAATACTTTCTTTTGTTCCATCTCCATTAAGAAAAATTGTATCTTCTTTGGTAATTGTGGCTGATCCAGTTGATCCAAATAAATCAGGTGTTGCTCGTTCAAGTTTAATGTCTAATTCATCAGAGAAAACAGTGCCACCAGTCAGAATAGCCAAATCTCCTAAAATGGATTTTCTATTATCTCCAAACCCAGGTGCTTTAACTGCTGCAACTTGAAGATTACCACGAAGTTTGTTCAATATACATGCAGCCAATGCCTCACCATCAATGTCTTCAGCAATAATTAATAGTGGTCTACGTTGTTGTGCTGATGTTTCTAAGGCTGGCAAAATATCTTGTAAAACAGAAATCTTTTTCTCTGATAGAAGAATCAATGGTTTTTCAAGTTCTATTTTCTGAGATTTAACATCAGTGATAAAATATGGAGAAATATATCCACGATCAAATCGCATTCCCTCTGTAATTTCTAATTCATCTTCTATTGTTTTTCCTTCTTTAACAGTGATAACTCCATCTTTACCAACTTTTTCCATAGCATTAGCTATAAGGTTTCCTACATGTATATCACCATTAGCAGAGATTGTAGCAACCTAAATATTAATAGATATTGTTTATTAATTGTTTAATTAGTCTGATGGATAAATATCATTTACTTGCCTGAGCAATTTCTTCACTTGTGGTAATAACACGACTAATTTCTCTTAAATATTTAACAATAGCATCAACAGCCATTTGAACTCCACGCCTAAGATCCATGGGATTACATCCAGCAGCTACATTTTTAACACCTTCAACAAAAATTGCACGGGTAAGTACTGTTGCAGTTGTTGTTCCATCACCTGCAACTTCATTAGTTTTATTTGCAACATCTTGAACAAGCCTAAAATCAAAAAAAAAATATAGATTACATATGTAACACATTGATTAATCATGTGATGAAAGACTTGATAAATTATTATTATTATTTTTTACCTTGCACCAAGATTTTCAAATTTATCTTTAAGTGTTATACTTTTAGCAACAGTCACTCCATCCTTTGTAATTTTTGGACTACCAAAAGGTTGTTCGATTAAAACATTTCTTCCTTTGGGACCAAGCGTTACAGCTACAGCTTTAGAAAGTATGTCCACACCATTTAATAAAGAAGCACG